GATAACGACAACATATTATATGTGAGGCTTTAATAACAATAAAAAAAAGCAGCTTTATCCATTATCGAAATGGAAAACGCTTTTGACATGCATACTTGCGCTCGATTTTTCACACGGCAAATATCCATACGTATGTATTTTTCTACCACCACAACCGCCAAAGCGATCAGCAGTAGTAGCCTGTGTATGAGGATGATGTTGAATTTATTCTCTAGCTTGCTCTCTATCTCTCTACCTCCACTCTCTATCTCTATTCAGATTTTCTGCACATTTATATGCAAATTTCCTTTGGTTTATTTTACAATTAAAATTAAACAAAGTTGAACTGAATCCGCTGCGCGACAAAACACCACAATTCAAAACGTACATGAATAAATGCTGCTAAATTTTCTGCCGGTTTTCCGGGCGCTTAAATGAATAAATTTGTCGCCATGAATGAATTGAGTTATTTAAACCATGAGAAAAAATACTGAAACGATTCTTCAGATTCTTATGGAGAAAAAAATAATCATGTTCGCGTTATCTACAGTGTCAAAACGTGAAAAACAAATGAATGTTTTGCGTATGTGAAAATTTATTCGGTCAGAAAAAAAAAACATCTTGACTTAATCCATAGCAACGCACATCCCCCTCCACTCATTACAAAATCTTCAAGCTCGCAAACAGATGAAAGTTTACGACGCCTCCGTTCGGTGGAAGTGTGAAAAGCGCCACTTCACGGGTTTTAGATTGCTGATCAATAATAATTTTCAATTTCACTTTCAGTAAATTTGCAACTGAACACATTCACAACACTGTATGCGTTACGTTCGTTTGCTGGTTCGTTCGTTCGGTTGGTACATTTACTGCCATTTCTCACACGACGGCATGCGGCACGCATAAAGCATACAAAACCGAAATAAAAACACACATTCCACCATCGCACAAGGATTGTACTGTGCGTGTTATGCCATATTGACTTGCGTCTTACTCTCTTGATATTCGCAGAGAGTATATTGTGTTTCAAAAACTGTTTTGTGTCGCGTTTTGTTGTTTTTCTTTTTAAGTTTGCGGATACGTGCGCGCTATAACCAGCCCCCGAAAAATAATGGTTGTGTATGTGTGTGCGTGTGTGTGTGAGCGTATATACAATATACATATTAAAATATATGTGTATATAAATATAAATGATATTGGATTTTAAGCAGCATATCTCGCAGCGTTCATAGGACCACCAAGAAGTTGGTCTCTTTTTTTTCCCATGGAGCATACAAATTTTATGAAGTCAGTGAACAAAGGCTTTTAATAAAATTGCACAAAGCTAATGGAAATTTTTTGGATGAAATTCGAAAGTTTTATTCCCTTTCGTTTGGAAAATTTAGCCACATTCGCACACATTCGATGGGTTAAAATTGGGATTCATGCTTTGAAACGAAAACATTTTTTGCAAAGGCTTGCAAAATCCTATTGATTTACCAAAGACGAATTGCAGGCGAAGAAGAAGATAAATTTTAATAATCGATTTATTTCAAAGAAATAATGTTTTCAAAGCTACATGTCAACGTATTTTGCCCGCAACTCAATCCATTTTCGTGCATCCTCCAATGCCAATCGTCGTCTCTGTACGAATCGATTTGATGTGTATGAGAGATTTTCATGGCTCATATCCTCTCTTTTTTTTTAATATTCTCATTTTATTTGGTCGTCGTTGTTGATGTTGGTTCGCAATTTTAACGTCTTTCGCCAGCGAAAAAGTCAATGTGTAATATTGGTTCACATTGTTTAGCACATACCATCCAGTTACGGGGATACCGGCATTATAAACCAAGATGGGACGGTTGCTGTGCAAAAGAGTCATCGAATGCGCTGGTTGGTGCCTGATTTAGTCGGTTACTTTTTTTTTCTCTCTCTCCATTTGTGTGTTTAGTTTGCATTTGGCTATATATACCATATTCAATGCGTACAGTTTTCGATATTACGTATGTATTTTCCAAGTGGACTGAATCGTGTGTTTGTGCAGAGATATGAATGTGTGCTTCTACATGGATATATATTTGTGTTTGTGGGTGTGTCTGTGTGTGTACGGTGGATGTACTCGTGAGAATGACTACTTTATTTCCCCCCAAATAAGGTGCATATATTTATCTATTGGTATGCTATGTTTCAGAGAAAAGCAAACACACAAATTGTACACCATTAAGCAAAATTAAATTCGATAGTTTGGTAGCTTGAACCGTTACACATTCCCGTATACACGCGCAACGCAAACGGAACACTGCCCGCTACTGACTGTGTGAACAAATACTCTTATTTTGCGACCGAACAAAAGAAAGAGACATTGAGCTAGAGGGACAGAGAGAGAGAGAGAGTGAGGGAGAAGGAGCAAAACTGAAAGATGGAGCGAGCAAGATCGAATAAGAGAAAAGACAAGGGAGATACAAAGGGAAAAAGGAATATCCAATGTGCTACCACTGTGGATAGCGTAAAATGAGCGTGTAATATACTGGAGTGAAATGCTACTATTGCCGCTCGCTAAATTGGTAAATTTTCCAGATTTTGCTGAGATTAAGTCATTGTTCTCTCTCTCTCTCTGTGTTTGTGTACTGGCCCCAAAAGTTCATGACAATGCCAAGCTCTATGCACACCGAAAAACATCTTTTGGTCGGCCGAAAGCCATGGTCGTGCTTCCTTTCTTTCTTTCTTCCTTTCTTTCTTTCTTCCTTTCTTTCTCTTTTTCTCCCTCGATTTCGTTCACCTTCTCTCTCACTCTCTCTCTCTCTCGGCCAATTTTCCAATTCCTATGACATATGAATGATAAGCGAAAATATTGAATTGAACATCGACAAATCATTTAAACGGCCGTTTACGCATGGACAATCTATCGCCTGTAGTTAAGGAAACAACAACTGAATGAATCGAGAAGAGGAGAAAAAAAAACTTCATTCCACAAAGTGGACATGAATCACACGGAAACCGTATAAAATATTTGCGTTCATTTTTATTAATTCCACCGACATCACATAAATCCTAGATGTTTGCAGGTTAACCTTCGGAGGTTACACTTGCATTAAGTATCGTGGAAAAAAAATAAGCAGAATCAAATGTTTTGAATCCACCGTAAGTAAGTATAAAATTCCGGTTGCTATAGCGCTGAATTGCGATGAGAACTTCTCTCTCTCTCTCTCTCTCTCTCTCTCTCTCTTTCCCACTCTTTTCTAATTGAGATTACGACTTTTCACCATATCATTGTTATTTTACTGCCCATACAAGCACCGACCATTAAATGGTGCATCGATATCAAGCAATAAGGTGTTTTTTTTCTCTCTCAAATCATTCCTAACTGGAATGGAATCATTCGTTTCAAATTATGATCGATTTCAAATACGAGATTTTAAATGAAAATACAAACAAACAAACAGAATTTGAATCAATGGACCAGTAGAACAAGACTTGGCGCATGCAGCCAAAATACAACAAAAAAAAATTAGTTGATGTGTTCATTGCTGTGGTCATAAATAGTAATGAGATTGTGTAAAACTTACAACATGAACGCTGCTCTGCAGATTTCCAGCCAAAGATGCGTTTTCTGGTTGCTTTTTATCCGCTTTCTTGGCTGCTTTTTTCGCTTTGTTTTCCAGGAAGCGCTTTTGCAGTGTCACCGTTTCGATGCTCTGTTGTTCGCAGGCTCCGGTGAAGGATTGATCGAATCGTGGGCCACATTCCGTATGATGTTGTCGATAATTTCCCATACGTTTCTTCAGCCGTTCCAGCCCATTACTGATTTTGGATATATCCGATGGCGCTTGTTGCTGTAAAAGGAAACAATCAATCGATGAGCAACGAACATGTTTAATGGCCAGAGAATTGATTTGCTCTCTCTCTCTCTCTCTCTCTGTCTCTCTCTGTGTGTGTGTGTGTGTTTCTCCAAATTGGGAAAATTGTTTGTAAAATTTCAATTGAACATTGCCAGAAATTACCTGTTGAAGTTGTTGCTGGTTGAGTTGATGTGCCGAATTGGCATTCGGAAACGTTGGTAGACTTCCTGCATCCATACGAATGAATGCTACTTGTGGTACACGCCGATGCGCTCCACAATAACACTATAATTCTATATTTGATCAATTTAACCGTGCACACGTAATTCTTTTTTGTTTCTCAATTGATGTGTGTCTGATTGCTAATTTGACACTTAATTGTTCGGCTTTTCATCGGATTTTCTCGTACGTTGGAGCATATTCATTATGTTTGGCTTTGGCGTTTTTTTTTCTTGTTTGTTTTTGTTCTTGGTGTATTGCTATTTGGGATTGATGTATTGTGAGTGTACGTTGAAATTTTCGGCACTCGCTTGCGACACACTGTCCTTGCCACTATCAATGATAATAATTCCACTTAAACACTTATTGCGCACGATTCTCGCGTTCCGTGCGCTTTATTTTTTTTTTTTTTTTTATTATTGTTGATGATATTGTTGGTGTTGCTGCTGCTTGATGTCAATTTTTAGTACGAATATTATTTCCTTTTTTCGTTTTTGCTGTTGATGATAAAAACCAGAAAAAAATTATACATTAATCTCATAATTTCATATAAATAGATTCATAGTATAGTATAGTATAGTATTTTATAATTTTTAATTCGTTTCAACTTGTGTTTCCCATTTCGATTCCTTGTGATTTCTCATTTTAATAACTCGCAACTGGTTTGTTGCGTTTTTTGTTCGACTTGAGTCTGTGATTCAATTCGATTTATTGATATATCAGACAAATTAGTTAAGCATATTTTGATCTATATCTGTTCATGGTGAAATCGTTTCTCACAATTGTGCAACATCATTTTTCGCTAGACTTATTGCATTCGCCATTTCTGTTGGAAGTATCAAAAGAGAATCATCACTTCTATCAACAAATTTCAATGTGAATTTTGTGTTTTAGTTCTGGTGAATCTGTCATTGTTGTGTATTTGTACGAATTGATTCGAAATCAAAGAGCTCAAACCCATCATCACCGAGTATGATTCAAATATAACGAGTGGCCGAACTGATAAATACGCTTTGATTTTTTTTCTTTTCACATCTTACGATTGTCACCATTCATATATTTGGCGTGTTTGACTGTCGATTAATTTGTCTCGAATCCTCTTGACGCCATGAATAATCGCAGTCCGAATTCATTCATGAATATTCGAAATTCGATGTCGGATTGCACGTCCATTTCAAATGTGAATTTTTGATTGGAATGGGGTAAAAGTTTAAAATAAAGAGTAAATAATTGTCGTGCTTTTTTTGCTTAGGCTTTTGACATTTTTCATGAATCTGGCCATATAATCCATGATAAGTTGCTCCCTGCAACATTTCATTGCAAAGTCTGCACTGCAGACACTTGATACGTCAAATATCCCGTGACACTGTATACGAGAATGAAAAAAACTCAGTGATAACTGTTGGCTGAATGAATATTAGTTTAAAAAAAATGCTACATATTCAAAATACAGTGTCAAAAGTGCCTGGTAAAATAGAGAAAAGAGCGACAAGAAGCAGACAAACTAATCCTTGATGGCCTTAAATTGTCGCCGCATATCTATCGCCATGAACCGTTAGACGTTTCAGAACTTTTTATGAAATTTCCACACGAACCAGTATTTCGCATATCATCTGGCTGCAATATTATACGCACGTCTGCCAATCACATGAGGTGATATCTTTTAATCGATCTGCACAGTTGTGCGCGTCGACGCACAGAAATACAGAGAGAGACCGAGACTGAGACTGAGACAGTGAGAGAAACAAAGAGAGAAAAAAGATCAACTTAACATTTTTCAGTCGTACATAATCGGTTTAATTAATCTGTTTATCTCAAATATTGCATAAATGTTAGCATTTAAGCGAAACATCAAATTTGCATGTGTGTGGAACATGTGACAACAATTGGGTTGGATGAACTTTTCATTCGAACCGAAAAAAAGACAAAAATCGAGTGGTTTTTTTTTCTGCCAAAACTCCCCTGCAACGGATAATATTTACGACAACTTTGATGAACGAGTGTTCGTTAGTGTATCAAATGACTTGTCAACAAAAGACGTTTGAAAATAGATGACACTGCAAGTACCACTTGCAAGTACGTCTGATGGAGAGGGTATTTCGCACACGCAAAAAGGGTATCGCTTAAATATACAGTCGATCTTTTTTTACAAATCAACGTAATGAACCCATGGATGTGCTTATGATTATTTAGCCGTCGTTAAAATCCGCCTTCTCTCTCTCTCTCTCTCTCTCTCTCTCTCTCTCTCTCTCTCTCTCCGTCTCGTGTCTTTGCGTTGGTCCAAGTATAGATTCGGTTTTTTTCCCTCTCATTCTTCTCATTCGCATGTGATCTGTTCTTGATCGAACAAGAATATTCACGCGAAAAGAATCAGTGGAATGAACAAAGGAAGAGAAACGATGGCAGGCATCCGGTTTCAACGTATTTCTTCGTCCAGTGAAGTGCATGCTGTGAGTATATCGAACGTTGACAACATCGACGATGATGACTGCGATGACGGCGTCATTCTTGCAAAAACATCCAGTGTGCAGTGCAATACACACACAAACATTTGGCTCATAATTAAATTTCTATTAATTGCATTTTCAAATGAATGTTTCCGTTGTGCACGCGCGATGCCGATATTCTTGGGCGCGAATCGCGTGAAACCAAACGAGAATTGTGTGAATGTTTTGCCACATGCAATGAAACCGCGCCATTTTTCATTCGTACACTCGTTGTTGTTGTTGTTATTGTTTTCTTCAAATTGAAAATTAAAATGGAATATATCGAAGCTTATAATCTTTCTCCCATGCAAATGAGCTGGCTATTTTTGGGCTCGACATGCATATATACACTACACAGATGAAGAGTAGAAAAAAAAACTACAACAACGAAGCGAATTGATAATGCTTATTGTAATGAATGGCCGACTTACAACAAGCGCAGGTTATTTATACTGTCACATATACAAGTCTATCCAGCGCGTTGAATGTTCGCATATGCCCACAATAAAACTGGAGACAATAAATGGGTTAATTTCATTTCTGATTGTTACTGCTTTTTCTCTCTCTCTCTCTCTCATCTTCTTGCCTGATTATTTGAGTTTGATCATTTTCATAGAATTTTTGTTTTTCCATAGGTCTTTCTCTCCCTCTCTACACTTTATTCGAACGCAAATTTCGCAGCAGCCACTCAAAGAGCAGCACAATGATTTTGCACTCAGAACCATTCATTTCGTACATTATGATAAATTCCATTGGTGACAATATACGAACAATGCTTTTGCAAAAGCCAAACCAAGAAAAAAAAAGCACACGACAAAAATAAAACGAAAGACATCGTTTTATTGCACACTTATGCAACAAACACTAACCATTTCATGAAGAATCGCATTTTGAATAAATTTGAAGAAAAAAAATAGTAGGGAAAAAATTACGCTAATGCGAAATTGTACCAGAGCTTACAACCACTAAAGCTGGAAAATTGCTGACTGAAATCAATGGTATCGCATTAAATACCAACAAACAGACACAATGACACGGCGAGAGAGAGATAAGGAGAGAGAGAAATGATTTTGTTTTGTTTCATTTTTGCAACGGCCTTTATTTCCACCTGAATATTTTCTCTACCTCTTTCTCTCTCTTTCTTTCTCTCTCTATCTCTCTCTCTCTCTTTCTCTCTCTGCGTCTGCTTATTTGTGTGGTGAACGGTCACACAGTTTAAAATCGCACATTTTCAGCCTGATCTGTTTGGTTTCAACCACAAGTGGGCTATTGTGTAACTATTTGCATAGAAGTCATAGGTGGTGTGTTGCTATTGCCTTTGTTGCTGCTGTTTGGTTTTTGTTGTTGTTGTTGCTATTTTAGTCACTTGCGTGTTATTAGTTTTCGCATAAATTTAAAGCTTAAATAAACCAAACGAATTCCAATTTGAGACACTAAACATAGCAGCAATGGCAGCGGGCGGTAGTCGTACAAACACACACATTGAAATCATTTCGAATCAAAGGATTTTAATGATGTTCGATGAACATACATTTTCCATTAATCGATGTGTACGCGATGAATGTACACTTAATTTTAAAACTCTCATTTGTCAGTTTGAGAATCGAAGCGAGAGAGAGAGAGAAAAAACACACACGGAAAAGAGAAATACGAGAAAAAAAACCCAGCAACAGCACAACAAATATGCATGATTCAGAACAAAGGCCTCTCAATCGAAATGGCGAAAAGCGATTTATTTTGCGAGCGCGGTATATGTGTGTGTGTGTGAGTGTTTTGACTTGAAAAATACTTGTGATTATTATATATAAATTCCTTATCTCTGTCGTCGAAAGAATGTTTTTTTTTTGTTTCATCAAGAATGGATGAATCACACAGAAACATTGCAGCTAGGCAAAAAGCAGAAGAAAAAAAAACAAGTAACAATATGTTTTTGTGATCAAAAGTAAAACAAATACAGTTCGGATACGGCCACGGAAATTCCGTTGAATATTGATGGCGCACACATACATGCAACCACACACAAACACACACACACACATGGAAAGCATTTGGAATGCAAACAAAACGGAGCAAAATAGAAAGTGTATCGCACGCGATCACTTCGCGGTGTGTGAATGCATGGATACCGAAATGCTGAGCTGTGTGGCTCTTGTTATTCCATTCGGTCTGAATTCGTCAGCAAACATATTTAAATGACGAAAAAAACACAACACAACAAATTCTTGTAGAAAGAAGAAAACGCATCAACACACCAGAAGTGAGGGAAAAAAAACAGAACACAAGACACGAGTGAAGCACAAGAAGAAATACCTTTGAGTGAGTGGTCGTGTGTGCGCGCGCGTGCAACAGTGCTTTTGTTGCTGTGTGCGCTTTTGGCTTCGAAAATGAAACAAATCATTTATATTATTTGACACAGCGAAGAAGAGAATATGCTTTGGTTGATTAACCTGATGAATGGAAAGAGCAGCAGCAGCAGCAGCAGAAGTAACTAATGAACGTTGGCTGCATTTTATAAAGATAACAAAAATGGTTGCGCCAAACAAAGAGCATGCGATTTGTACGGCAAGATTTATACGGTTGAAGAGATCATTTGAAAGTACGGAAGCATCTAAGGTATATGCTTTCGATTCCAAGCATATTTCTACGACAAAGCATCTCGATTGAACGTTGCATGTCAATGCAAAACATCAACTCATTCACAAATCACACATATATCAATCGGTTGGCCTGCATTTGGCACAAAATTGAATGGTTTCGATTGCAAATATGCAATTCATGTGTGAATGATGGTGACGATGTTAGGTGTGTGTGTATAGGTGGGCTTTAATGTGTGAAACGGGCAATTTCGTTATCTGCAAATTGTCAAAGAGACCTTTTAATTAATTTATTGCCCGTAAATCAATCGTTTACATTGATGTCAATCATAGCCACCTATTTTGTAGGTGCGACAACGGTGGCGGCAGCAGCAATGGATTGAATTAACTAGCATGATGAGTGCAAGAAAAAAACACAGCAACAAACATTAGAGAGTTTCCTATCAATCATTTGAAGATGGATATGAAATTGGATTTTCACATTTGCCATTTATCTTGAATTTGGGTTAGCTAGCATGCCAGCAATTGATTTGAAGGTTTTTTTTTTACTTAAAATATAAAATGATTAAGCGTTTTTCGGTAAGATATTCATCATTCAACCCCTTTTTTTGGTTTCTCTTGCATATCCGAGAGAAAAGAATCATTTTTATTTTCATTCAATTTAAAGGAATTGACAGTCGAAAATGTCAAATCCCGGTAATGGTTGGATGCATCCGAGGACAATAGACGGTGCAAATGAACACACGGCAGACGGGACAAAAAAAGGGGTTGAGAGTTGTTGATCATATCACAAAGTCAGGTATCGGTAGTCTAGTCGATACGGTAAAGTGATACGTACAAAAACCAAGTCGAGGCGAGCGACGCTCACAGGAAAAAAACACAAAATGAAATAATTAAGTACGAAATGACTAATTTGAATACACACTGTTATATAGATAAACCGAATATACCGTGTGTGTGTGTGTGTGTGTGTGTGTGTGTGTGTGTGTATTGAGTGTTCACTGCTTATGAAGCATTATTATGTGTGCATTTAACGATAGAAATCGCCTGATCTCTGCAGCCCCTTTCGGACTGGAATATTTATTTATTGTCTATAAATTGGCGGTGGACGTGTGTGCTGTTTATTCTTTATTTCGTTGTTTCGATGCGTCTCGTCTCTCTATTCCGTCATGTATCGATATTTTTCTAGCTGTTTTATTGTTATTGTTTGATTGCTGCTATTATTCTTTCGAGCTAACCAAATGCATTTCATTGACGAATCACATTGAAAAATAGAGAAAGAGCGCGCGCTCACGAGCGAGAAAGAGGTAGAGAGTGAAAGAGACAAAGAAGACAACAACTATTTAACTATATTAAATGTGCTCCTTCGACATTTTCTAGTTTTTATTTGCCTTCATTTCTTGTTTCAAACGTTCATTCGTTGTTTGTTTGTTCGTTCGTTTCTTGTTATTGTTGTTTTTCGGGGGGCTTTGTATGTAAATGTTACGTTTTACCCAATTTATTGAAGAAAATAGCCCAGATAGAGAAATGACTATATGTTAAAATAGCAAAAATTGAACAAAAATCAAAACGTACACCATCAAACACACATTATGTGAATTTCTTTCTAAAGAAATGGCTCATCAATGTTCGTTATGCTTTCGTATGACTAAATTGAAATGACTCTCAAGTTTGAGAAAATTTAAATCGAAATCAAGCAATATCGCTCAGCGCGAAAGTGTGTGCGCTTCAACTGAGAAATGATTGGTCATTTCTTCATTACACTCGATTCGATTGCTTCTAATGTGTGACGCGTTGTCTTGACAAAGGAATAGAAAAAAAAAGAAGAAGAGAAAACAACAACAACAACAACAACAACAGCAAAACTAACGTATTTCCTTTTGACATTATCATAGATAACGTTTGAGTTTTAGAGTGCAAATACAATGAATCGAAGCGAAGGATTGACGAAACGATAATGCTTGGCTGTGATATCACACATAAATTATGCAACACTTCTCGCAACCAATTGACGCGTCTTTTGCTCGATTGTGATTGCAAATACTTTGTTCAACCCTTAGCGATCAAACAAGAACATTTTGTTTTCCGATTGAAAATTTTGCTCTCTACAGGCGTCCACTGACGCTGATGAAAATCATAGAGAAAGACGTAATTTCACGATCTAGCCGAATGAAAAGAGCCTGATCAATTAAGTTGAGTTGTGATACTCTATTGAAATCAAATTTTTGCTATGAGATTCCATTCGATTATTGTATTGAGAAAGTCAAAAGAGATGCTTGAGTGATATCAAGTGATTTGCAGTGCCGTTTACACAGGCTATTATACTGTATATAGCGATACACAATCGACAGCACAACACACACACACACATGCACGCACAACGAGCACAACCGATACAGAAGATAAACAACGGCTTTAATTATCGTTTTTTGTTGTATTAGCCAACACAGCAGAGATCGAGTAATGTGGAAATGTATGGCAAATACATTATCGACAACCAAGAAAAATAGTGCGTTTGTATGATATGTTATGTGACATTGTTTTTTTTTGTCGTCTTTTTTCGTTTGTTTGTTTGTTTGTCGTTTCATTTATTTCTTGGGGTAAACGTCATGCATTCATATGTTGCACTGACATTTCATCTAGTTGATCCATTGCCTGCTAGCAACGAACGATGAGTTGATCGTATTGCTTTTTCCTTACAACTAGCTTGTTTTGTTGTTGTTGTTTTTCATTCGATCTCAATGCATCATTTCGTACAAAGCGTTAAAAACGCAATGCACAGATGAAAATCATTACTCAAATGCAAATTTAACGAAGGAGAATAAGAAAAAAATACGAGACGATTTTGCATAAGCAAAATGTGCACCGTTGACAAAACCGCCTCGTTGCATCGTCTCATCACCTGAATAGCATTCGCATTGGATCATTTCGCGATTTAATTTCATAAATACATTATCGGAATTAGCTAATTTGCTGTACACGTAATAAGTATAAGTTTGTCGTCGAATCATATTTTTAGAATCGGTCAAAACCGATTTCAATGCAATTTAAATGTGCATCGGAAAAGTAATAAAGAATCAACTGGCGCGCGCGCAAGCGAGTGGCACACGAGAGAAGCAGATTGTGATTTTATTGAAATCATGTGCACATACATCTATATTGTAATATATGGAGAGTGGGAGAGCGATAGCGACAGAGAGATCACGCAAATATACACATCGGTATTTCAATCAAAGGTGCACACCGTTTCAATTCGTCACGATTCGTAAACAATGAAAATGCATTCGGGAAAAAAAAATATAGTTTTCTCTCTCCACTGGTTAATTACTAATCACACAGTCCTCTGCTGATCACTGTTTTGATGCACATACACACTCACACACGCACACACACATACATACACATGCTCGATCATATACTCGATTTGATAATTTTGCCGTTGTTGTTACTGTTGCCGTTGTTGGAATTGCATTCATACGTGGTGGTGGATACACATTTACAAGCCAAATACTCGTTCACAACAAAAACAAATTGTTTTCATCCAACGAAAAATTCGACCAAATTGTTATTTATATTGTCTGGCTGGTTAATCATTTACCTCATATTCAAAAAAACATTGACAAATCTAGTTCGCGCGCACACGCACACACACGCGCTACAACACAATACAATTTCGGTTCAGAGAAGAAATATACGTACACATAAACCGATTCCCATGCTCAATATTCAAAACTTTACCGAAGAACACTCGACCGAAAGCCAAAATTGTGGTGGTCGGAGAAGTGTTTGCAAGGCTGAGAGCAAGAGAGTGAGTAAGATAGAGTGAGTGGCAGAGATTGGCCACAAAACAAACACACCGAAAACACAAACAGTAAACAAAAAATTGTAAATGTTTCAAAGTATCAAATGCGATCAAGCGAAGATTAATTCGGTGAAATCAAACATTTAGCCCATTTGTTGTTTCGTTTGTCGAATCAGCACGAAAACTAAAATCACAACAACAACAACACCACCGAAATCACATGAAATGAATGAGATTTTCCGTTACTTTTTTAATTGCTATTTTTGCTGTTGTTGCTTGTCTTCTTCATCAAATTTGAAATGATCTCATTTGAAGAAAAAAAAAAAAACATAGGACTCGAATACCAAAATCAAAACAAAACAAAGAAAATCACAAAATTAAACCAAAAAATGTCATTATTCCGAACCGACAAAAAAAAACGAGTATAGCTGCTCCACTAAATAACAAATCATCATCATATCAATAATAACCGAAAATTTATGGCAGTTCACTAACCATGTAAGTGCACCAATGATATTGTATCGACAAATGTAAATTGGTTGGTCGGTTTGTTGTAAAACATTCACTGACATTTCATTCTTTATTTTTGTTGGGTTTTTTTTTCGCTTTATTTTTCCAGTCGTTGTTGTCATTTATTTACGATTTTATTTCATTCAAACAACACCAAAACATATTCTAAAGCGGCCACCGAAAAAAATGTCCGATTCGGTTTTTATTTTATGTATATATATTGTTTTTTTTTCTCTGTTGCTGTTTTCGGTAAATACACACGTTTGAATTTCAAGTTTCACGTTAAACAACTGTTTATATCGCGTTATTACTGTGGTTTAAAAAAAAAAACGGATTATATACTTTTCGTCGTTTCTCTGTCAAAATTCACTTCACTTGGGTTGAAAAAAAAATTTGTTCATTTGGTTGAACGGAATAGAAATTAAAACAATGCACAAAATGAACCAGAAAGAAATATTTTCTTCATGAAAAATCAAACTAAAATATCATTTTTGATGTGTTCTGAGGTGAGTACGAAGACGAGATGTGAGATCGACAACGAAAACGCGTGCTTTCATAAAAGGCCATTACAAAATACTGAACACACATACCATTTTAAAGTATACAATCATTCGATTTTACATTGTTGAACACAGAAGAACGGCGAAACGACCGAAACAAAAACAGGAACAACACACTGAGAGAGCTCAATCGAATGCCGAACGGAATAGAGTGCGCTTTGAATGAATGCGAAGCGAACGGACAAAAATTATTGAGTGTATAGAACGCGCGGCGTTCAACCAGAGTGCTGTTTGGTTGGTACGTGAATATACATATGTGTACGTATTGCACGTACGTATTGTATGAACATGGTGTGTGTATATATTGTCTCCCTATCTCGCTCTGTCTCTCGTATACGCAACAATGAATATACGACGACGAAAGAGAGTGTATTTATCCATACGAAAAAAGTGTTTGCCGCCGCATCGAATTGTCACTCATTGCGATGACGATGGAGAGGTTTTGCTGCAGCTGTTGTATTTAGTGGTTTGTTGGTTGTTGCGTTAACGCTACCATTCCGTTGAATTGAAAGAAGCAACAACAACAACAATAATAACACACACAGAGAGATAGACCGAGAGGCTCTTTCTCTCGTTCCCGTACACACAACAATGCCATACATTTATTTATTTATCGAAATGGTTAGGCGCTTTATCGGTTACCGAAACGTATAAATGAAAATATTTTACAGGATGATATACAATTTGTACGCGATGCGATGTAAGCGACACAAGACGACAACGACGATGACGATGAAGAAGAAGAAAAAATCCCGAGAGTCCTGAGCACACATTCCATCGATATATACCATCGGATTGGGTAAGCGACAGAATGTGCCAATGAATGATACGATATCTCGTATGAACATCAGCGTGGTGACGAAGAGACAACACACATGAAATGCACAACACATTTCGATGAGATGATGTTTGCCTTTTTTTGCGCCACACAGCTCTTCCGAAACCAAAGTGACATAGTGCGGTGTACAAATCAATTGCATTTTGATCATGCATTTATGCACTTTGGCAGGATTCATTCTCCTTATGGTTCCATCTGGGCCATCCTCCGGGCAAATTTTATTCGATTTTCGTCTCGTGCAAAATGGCCACTTTTTTCTCCCTCATTTTTTTTTTTATAGTGTCGAACGGAAAACGAAGAGACAACGCATTTTGAAAATGGCTTAGAACTGTTATGGCTTTGTGTTTTTTTTCTTCGGAATTTTCATGTATCGAAGGAAGAGGCAGAGAAAAAGAAAGAAACACACACACACACACACATAGAGCAAACGAGATAGAGAGAAAGAGTCAATGAGGGATATCTCGTGTATGTAAAATGACATGTAAACATTGGTATACAACCTGATAAGTCAATGTGATGTGCCATCTAATTATGTGTTACGATGCTCTCTGTGGATCATTGAAGCCAACCTTTTTTCATTGAACTTGTTTTTCTTTCTTTCTCTCTCTCTCTCTCTCTCTCTCTCTCTCTCTCTCTCTCTCTCTCTCTCTAGCCTGAGACTGTGTGTGTGTGTGTGAATGTAATGTGAAATGTTCTCTTGCTGTCCATACTCGCTCGTTCGCTTCAATATGGTATATACATATTCAAAAAGCGAAAAGTAAAATAAAAAAGACGAACAGAAAATCAAATATATAGATTTCGGTTTGCTTTGTATAGAATAGCGAGCGCGTCAAATATCACCCATATTATGGCATACAGTGTAATGTGAGCTACTCGGTTTAATGGGCAAAACGGCGAGAGCAGAGCAGAGCACAACGCAACCAGCACTAGCAGTACACATTTTTATCATTCGTGTGTTGCTGTGTTACTACTGCTGTGTTTGTTGTTGCTGTTGCTGTTATTCGTGCTATTGCTGTTGCGTTCTTTTTATGTTCATCGAAAATCCAGAAGAGAAGAAAAATAAATGTTCGGAGAATTGAAGAGAAGCGCGCAAAACGAAGCACAAGAATGGAATGAACGAACGAACGTACGTACGAAAGCAATACGGTCCCCGTGTGTTGTATCTGAAACGGTAATACGAATTGTGTTGTGGTGGAAAAGAGTGCGCACGGTAGTGGCGGCGGCGTCGGCAGCAGCAGCGGTGTGCTCGTGTGTATGTGTACAAAAGTGCTATGAATTGCATAGCAGCAGCAGCAGCAGTATGAACACTACTCGGCGGTTCAATATCTCGCTGCTACAATGTTCCCATTACTTGTTTTTTCCATCCGTTCTCAGTTACATATCTCTGTTGTCCGCTGTCACCGTCTCTGTTCGCCATCGTTGTTGCTGTTCTCGTCGTCGTCGTCGTCGTCGTCGTCGTCGTCGTCGTCTCGTCGTCGTTTGCCTAAACGAGACAAGCGATTGGCACACGGTGAACAACGAGCATTTGCCGTACACAAAACCCAATGCAAGACTCGAATATACACACATCCACACACACACACACCACCGACCAACATACGTATACACACGTATGAAACATTGTGTGATACTACTGCGCGCGCGTCTTATTTTTCACAACGTCGATATTTGTGTGCCTGCTCACTTCTCTTTTTATTATTTTCTGTACCGAATTTTAATAGAGTACAACATATACACATCTATCGATACACACGCTACTAAACTGTACAACCGAATATCATTCGGATTTCGCTTAATATATTACTCACTTTTTTGGATGGTTTTTTTTCTCTCTCTCTATTTTTCGTTCATTCTCGATTTGTTTCTTTTCTGTGTGTTTTTTTTTTCGATTGTTTTTTTTCCTTCTTCTTCTTTTTCTTTGGTTTGGTTATCGTTTTGTCTGATTATTTTCTGGCATTCAGTTTAGTCGATTTGGTTGTGTTTTATTTTTCTCTCTTGAAATTTGTTCGTTCCACAACCAAATCCAACTGTAACCAAGTCGATTGTATGCTCTTGCTATTGAACAATTACGATTGTATTAATGAAAACCATATATACATATATATAGAGAGAGAGAGAGAGAGAGAGAGAGAAAGAGGCGAATAGAAATCCAACGGTAGATATGACTGTTACGAAAAATGCGTGATTGTTTAGTATAGAAGAGCCGGAGCAACAGCAACAGCAGCCCAAGCAGTAATTGTCACACGGTCGACAAAAATGTATTACTGTTAATTTTGATATGCTCACTGTTGCTGTGAGATGTATTTTGTTTTATTATTATTACTTCAATTGCTTTGGCTGGTTAGTAGTTGCACTTAATTTTATTTTTCATTCTCATTTTTGCCGCTCATAGTTTTTTCTTTGTCTCTCAGCTATTTTTTGTTTTTGTTTTTATTTCAATTTCTTTGGCGAATGATGTTCTCTCCCTCTCGCGCTCTCTTTGTTTCCCTGTCTTACAATGCAATCCATGATCGTAATATACGTATAAATTGTGAAACATTAAACTAGACTATGTCTTTCGATTCGTCATCGGTCGCCTTTCATTTGGCGTGTTTCTTCTTGCTCTTTCTCTCTCTCTCTCTCTCTCGTAGTTTCGCGTAATCGCGCGCGCATTTTTGTGTATTCGTGTGTCGGCCGCAGCTCACGCGCCGCGCAAACTGCTTTGGAAAAACTGTGTGTTTGCTCTGGCTGAATTTCATCAGTGTGTTTCGCTCTACCTCAACGGGAAGGCAGAGCAATATACACGGCAAATAGTTGACATGATTGGCGGCAAAATTGATTCCAACACTGATTAATTCTTTTGCAATCGGCAAATACAAACACACCCATACACACATTTTCGACAATCTCATCACAATATAGGCACACATACTCGCACCTCTATCGCATTTTTCCTGTGCATGCATAACATTGTGTGTATATGTAAATTTTGATTCATGAGTGATTTTTTCATAATCGCGCCATGAAGATCGAAACCAAGATCAAACTCCATCAATTCGGATGGTGAATACGTTTGAAGAGAAAATAAGAAGAGAAAGAAGAAGAAGTATGCCATAAATTTGTGTGGCAAGTTGCCTTGAAGGTTTGCACATTTTCTTTTTTATTCCGCCCGAAGTACATGCAAATCCGAAAACTTGTGAATGATTTTTTTTTCGGGGGGGTTAGTTTTTTTGAATTTGCCTGATTTTGTTCCGCTTTTTTGCATTCCAAGAGAGTTTGGCAAACACTCTTCAAATATATTTTATACCGAAATAGAGAACAAAAAAACGAAGAGGCGAAACAAAAAATGCTCGAGAGCACTTAGAAACTGATGAAGAAGCTGTAAAAAAAAATGTAAGAAGAAACGAAGGGAATTGCAAGAGATTGAGAGAAAAGGAAGCAACGAACAAAAATATATGTATACATGGAAGAATCAGGGGAAAATGATATTTAAAGTTCGGTATTTGGCCGGAGCATGTATTCATTGTACTGAACATTGGACTGGATTGTTATGTGTATATACATTCTCTCGTTGTAATGTTAAAATGTTATATAGCAGGGCATTCGTATCCTTTGCACACACGCTGCTGCTGCTGCGTTGTTTATACCGTCGCGTATCTGAGCATTAATCATTTGTCCATACACTTTGTCGTTATTTGTCGTTTACGTACACCTCACTGCATGCGAGTTTGATACACATTGGGACCGTTTGTATTTTATAGAAGACGAGAAAAAAAAATATTAATGAAAGCAACGAAAAAATGAAACACATACAGACTCCCATACATGTCCCATACAATCTGTCTGTTTATTTCTTTTCTCGGTGTTTAAAACAAAATTCCAGATTGAACCGATGTGTACGGTAGGTGCACCTCATGTGCACAGACTCATTTTCATGCGAATTACACTGGCACATATAGACACACACTCTACTTCTTTCTTCTTTTTTTTTAAATGTTATTCCCAAGTTATTTTTCATCGCTTAGGATTTCTCGCTAACTCATTGCTTTCAATGAAATGAAATTTAAGATTTCGTTGCTCATTTTGTCTTCTTATTTGGATTACCAATGGATTTTCTTTTGGTCGTACACATACACACAGAGTGAGTGAAAAAAAAACCGTTTTCGCTACGGTCAAATGCCTAAATTAAAATTCACGATGAATAATGATGCACGACAAAAACTTCATCATCTGGGCCACCGACAATTATCCCCCAACAACAACAAATAGTGCGAAAACAGTAATATTGTGATTGGGTATGGTATAAAATCGATAAAAGTTTTAAACTAGTCCCCGAATAAACATTGAAATGATTGTCGAAAATGGAGTTTCATATGGTTATTGCTATGAAAATGGCATAGAGTTCGTCGGCCACAGAATCGCTTGTTGCTGCCTCGTTGTTGATGCACTTGTGTGTGGTTGTTTACTACACAGTGATATAGTAAAAAGACACACACACACACAAAGAGAGAGAGAGAGAGAGAGAGAGAGAGAGAGAGAGAGAGCGATAGAGAGTTGGACTCTCGCGGCGCGCACATACTGAACTCGGAATAATCTCTATATCTTTTCATAATTTAGAAAACTCGAAAAACAAGAAAATGACGAAGAAAGAAAAAACAAATGCAAATAGAACAATATTTTGGGTGTACTGTGTTATTGTAAAATCGAACGGAATGAACGAAAGAAAAAAAAAAGAGCAGCAAATACTCATTGAATTTCGGACCGTAGAGAGTGCGCCATAAACTTTTGCCAACTCTGTACATTGTTGAATGCAGTTTTGGTGCTATATTTTGCTTGGATTGTTGTGCCTTTTTTTTCATTTGCTGTCGTTGATTATATGATTATAGTAGAGGCACACACAAATACTCACCAAATGCATGGCCGGATGGCAAGCATTTAGCATTGCATGTATATGCACTGGCTGCTGTGTGTGCTGCTGCTGCTGCTGCTGCTTGTGCGGATTCAGTGCGGTCGCTCTGTGTCGCTGTTGCTGCTGCTGCTGCTATCATTTTTTATTCTGCTTTTGTTTTTGCCTTTTTTTTTACTTCTACATTACATTTATTCAATATGTTGTAAGTTAGTGCAGTGTTTTCTTTTGCGTATCAATTGTACAAAAAAACAGAGAAAAAAAGACGAAAAGAAAACTGTACTGAAGAGAGCGCATTTGATGGCTTCTGTTATACTGTATATGAATATCGCCGCTACCGTTGCACAGGCCACAGTAGAGCGAAAAAAGCACCGACGAAACAGATTGGTAGAAGTTGTGAAATTGATGTTGCTGCTGCTTTTTTTTCATATATCCATACATCATATTCGCACTCACGCACGATACACATACTTCGGGACAGAGAGAGCATGAACGAAAAGACTGAAGAAGCGCTTTCCATTGACCCCGTCTTAGTTCATTCGATCATTCACATTGCTTTAGTCACTTCGCCGAGATAGAGACAGAGAGACACAACGGAGAATGTGAATCACACACAAGCAAAACCCACCGTCCATTTGCATGTGCTTCTTGTGTTTTTCTTTTTCAATCATGATTGATCTCAAAATAATATTTTACTTCCCCGTTTCGAACCGTCGTTGATTCTTTTGCACAAGCACCGATTAATTTGGTGTTGGCAATATTACGTACAGTTACGGACTAGACGCTTTGGGGCAGTAAAATAGATATTTTCCACAAGCACAAACAAACAAAAAATTCAGTCGAATGTAAAAATAAATATGCGATCGCGTTGTTTGGGTATCGGAAACACATTTTTTTTCCTTTTGGAAAGCATGACGCGATCAAAATTCTCTCGTCCGTTCACATTTTCATCGATCGGGTGAAAGAGTTACGAAATTTTTCAAATGAAATTATTGGCGAAATTGATTCGATTGCCATCGGTTTAAGTCAATTCAAGGTCTTAAATAACACTTGTATTGAATCGAGTGGTCGGTTGGTTGGTCTTCTTACTTGTGTGTACCTATGCTCATAAGCGATTTAATAATTTTCGCTTCGTACATACCATATATACATATATATATATATAAATGATTATGGTGTGTGTCCACCACGGGCGATGTGCATTTTGCCGTTCGCTCGTGTGTTTTTCTTTCTCTCTCTCTTCCTCTTTGCTGTTGCACATTTTCAACTTGGCTTTATATTTATGGACAAATGATTATACTAACGTGTATTGTAGTGCACGGTCGCGCTCACTCGGTTGGCTCCGGAGATCAACAAAAGAAATCGTAATCCAGATATGCGGCCAATCAAGTAAATTGAGCAATATGCATTGAAGGGAAAATGTGTATTAGATTTTCAACCGTACGTCTACTCTTGCCGTTGCGGACCACAATTTGCTATTGGCAAATTTCGGCATTTTGCCATTGCGGCGGCTATATTATGAAATCGCCAATGCAATCAATCTCACAAAATTATATTCATCATTCATTTCTCGGTTGTTGTTGTTGCGTCGCTTTTTTTTTCTTCTGCTCATTTCGTTCGCCAATATTCAAACACAAATTGAAAAGTCGTGCAGTCAAGATTCGATTCGTTTTACCTTTATTTTATTGCCTTCTTATTTGGACTAATAATTAAAACGGAGCTTAGCCTATGATTTCGTAACAATGGTCCGTTCGATAAAACGGTGCACATTTTTGTGTTTTGTTTTGTTTTGCTATTGACTTCGGATTCAAGTCTTTCTCAGTTTCGCACTCGGCTCGTAGTCGCAGCCATCAGAAATACGTCTCTTATCACTAGATTCTGTCTTTTTGTTGAGCCTCAAACGATATTGTACATCTCGTTTTCTACCCTTTAGCTTTTCTCGTAGATCGGCAACGGTTTCATACTCGGGCGCGTAAGACACATGCAGAATACCTTCGAAATGTGAAGAGAATGAAAATTGGATCGCAATTGGAATGGTGAAAATATTGAACAATTCAAATACGGTTCGTATGAAAAACGCTGGATATAGTTTTTGAATTGTTGATGCACTTAGATAAAACCGCGTCATTAAAATAATGGAAATAATTAACATTAAAATAATTGGATTTCAATGCCATATCCACATACCACCATAAAAGTTCTTGCGATCGACTCTTGATTTGGCCATCCGTGCTTGATGCACCTTTTGAAATTTCACATAGTAACAGTCGGTGAATTGTTCTATTTCAACTGTGAATAAAGCCAGAAAATAACGAAAATATCTCGAATTAAAGTCGCATTTTCAACGATCCCAACCGAAATGAAGGGAAAACAATCAAAATAATATCGAACCAACCGGTACTGTTAGACTTGAGCTCATCTGTTTTAACACGAACTTCAGCTACTTCACCATATCTTCCAAACAGCTGTTTGACCTCTTGGTGTAGATTGATTCGCGGCACACCAAACACTATCAAATGCCTCGATTCATTTACAATGGTGTACACCTGAAGCAAAACATAGAGGAAAAAAACGGAAAATTGATCGAACGGTTGATGAAAGACTTTGGAAAGCAGAAAACAATAAGCACTACCTTAACCGCTGTTAGCTTCCGTCCATCACGGTATTTCAATCGATTTGTACAGTATTCCAATTGCTTGTGATGAGATAAATCGTTTTGCTTTTGATTGTCCATCTCATATACGATCTCATTCTATCATATTTCAATGCAATATCGGCCGCTTTTGTTGTACTTTCCTTTTGAATTTGTATGAATTGTGCCGATTGTCACTCGGTTTGGGCTCTCACTTGTTTGTAAAAACAAATGTGACATTTGGATACGAACAAATGTCAAACTCCTGCAATCGAAGTACAAAAGTACACAGTTTTGGAACAGTATTAATTCGGAACAATTCCAAGAGCAAAAAAGGTTGAAATGGGCAATTAAGTACTAAAAATGTTGCAAATAATCAATCAATTATCTAAAAAAAAAATTTGCAGTCAAATGATTTGTTTCGCATAACGATTTTTTCAAATAATATATGACACTCGGTCTACATTAGCCATACTACTAGTGTGTTCACATTGCCAAGACATCTTTGAACATTTATCGTTCATAATTTTTAAGCGATGGAAAGACCGAACTTTCATATTTGAATTTAAAAACATATTCAAAGATTTTTGTACGAATAATTCGAAGATGCGACCTACAATCCAAAAAAAAAACAATTTTCCACATTTCATTCGATAGAATGTGGCAGTTTTCCTCAAGCTGGCGCCACTAGTACGATGCGATCCGTATTTTGAATTGCTGTCACTTTGCAAAAAGTCGCCGATATTGCGAGCAAAAGAGTTGTTTCTGTGTTTTCAGAGATGTGAGACGATTTTAATCAAAACGCAACCGCATTCAAATTGAAACAAGGGCTGAAAAGGTGGACTGGATTTTTTTTCGTTCAAATTAAAATTCATCATAATTTTTTGGAGATGCTTGTGATTTAACGTGTTATTTTTTTTTATCGTTGTTGTGTGTAATGTGATTGAGCCAGACAATATCATTGTTTGACTGAATTCCGTTCGAAAAACGGCTTGTAATATAATCTAGTGTGTGTGTTTAAGCGGCAGAACAATGGATCGAACCATTAATTCGCATAGCGGTATGATTCATGGCAATAAAAAATCAAACGAATCGCCCAAATTAACCGAAAGTTTCCTATGTGATGAGATACACGATAATTTACGCACACTCGCCCTAATACATCCGTTCAGCGATGAGTTTAAAGACGTTTTCGAAAAGGTAAATGACCCTTACTATCATAATAACACATGAATGTGATAATGCAATATATGGACACAAATTATTATTCTTTTTCATCATTTTAAAAGGGAATGTTCATCAAACCCAATGCAAAGGCGTTTCCCCATGTCATGAAATATCTACTCATGATCTGCGATCCAACTGATTTTAGGAAGAAATTTTGCTGGCCAATCTATAATAAAGCAGCAGAGGCAACATTTCGGTTAGTAAACTTTTTGGTTTCATCTGGTACATTCATTCATTGTTTTTATTAGTTAGTGGAAAAGCTCTTCACTCTGTCTATTTATTCTGTCTTCATTTTACCTTTTTACCAGTGTTTTCTCCTTTCTTTTCCGTTTTTTGAATAATTTTTCCATGTTTTGTTCAAAAAATTGAATTTTCCTTTCTTTTTATGTCGCCCACAGAAATTCCACATTGGACTTGCTGAATAAATTGAATGCAAAATATGAGCTGGGATTTGGCGAAGTGAAAAATAAAATTTTAATATTTCCTGGTGGTATGGAGTTTATGCGTGTGATATATGAACTGACTCGACTCTCGATGCAAATCGTTCTGAAAAGAAATGGAATCAATGATCCGGAGCAGCAACGGTGAGTTTCGGATTGAGCTTATATTTAAAGCTAGAATTTTTGTTCAAAAAAAATTAAACCATTTTCAATTTGGATTTTATCATTTCTAGCCCAATTACTGTAGCTAATGCGAAGGAGCAATTTAATGCTCTGGAAAACCTTCACAATTTTGTGACCAATTTCAAAAAGTAAGTGAATCAATTATCATGTTTATTCATACCGATTTCAAAAATCCCTATTCACCCATAAATTTGATCTTTCCAGAAAGGTGGACTTTCTATCAACGCAATTGAAAGCTAAAACGGCGATACTGCATCAACTGCTGCTAAAGATTACGGCTAACACGAATATAAAACCCGAGCATATTCTGCAAGAAAAATTCACCGAGAGTTGGAACGATGTTCAGAATGATGTTATTGAACGGGGAATATTGCCGGATATTGCTCGGCTAGAAAAATTCCAGAAAAATTGTCAACTGATCGAAGAGAAAGTCACGGCAGTTTTTAAGCAGCACACAATAACATTCGATAGGAATGCATTGGCTTCATTTTCATCGGAAATGCAAAAGCAATATCCGCAAAACTACCAACAATTGGCTACAATTGTCGAAAATGGTCACATTAACCCGGGTCATTTGTTGCAAGCCTTTTCATTGGCACTGCCAACGATGCTACATTTGATCGAATCGTACAAACCACGTAGCGTAGATGCAATGGCGTACGAATCGAATCGACTTCAAAAGATATCGCTGAAAACCGATGAAGTACTGCAGAGAACACTTCAACTCAGCACACCATCCGAGGTGGAGAATCCCGAATCTCATGGCATTCATGTGGCACCACAATTCGAGAGTATCCAATCGATGATTTTATCAACACCGACCATTTTACATGAGGCAATTCGACGTGCTGAAAATGCGGCGATTAAACCAAAACGAATATCATTGCTCGATGATGCGTATCAATTGCGACCAGCCACTGCTTCGAAGCCATTGAATTCGATACTCGAAGAATCGCTTCGTGGTGACCAAAAGCAATTCTTGTCGCCCACACGTCTGTTCACTAAGGAGCCAAAAGCCAAATTGGATCCGATGGCCATTCTTCAGTCGATTACAAAGAAAGAGAAAAAGGAAAAACCATTGTCGAGCGGAAGTTTTAAGGCAAAAACAATGAATTTCGGTCTTCGACTTGGACTTGGCAACAATCCACATGAACATTCAAAGGCAAATGATACGAATCTTAGCGTGCCGGACTTTTCATCGACACTGCTCAACCAATCGAACGACATCAAAGACACACTGTTCAGTGTGAACGAACAAATTAACACTTCGTTGGCCAAATCGGCCGGCAAAAATGATTACGCCGGTGCAAACGATCGAAAAATGCGCTCTTTGCTTGCCGTTGACACATTCGAGCATCCAGACCGTGATATAAATTGCTCACCATCGGGTCGCATCGAACCATTAGTTACGGCGAAATTAAACT